GCGATATTCTAAAAAATGACCAATATCAGCCGATACCGATATCAGTACTGATATATCGTGCATCCTTACTAATTTTAGGTGGGGGTTTGTTTAGGACCAAGGTGTGAACTGAGTTTAGGTTAGTTTTAGGGTAACTGGTCAGGGTTAGGATATAAAATTACCAGAAAATGAATGGAAGTCAATCCACGGTCCCCACAGTGATATAAAAACAAACCTGTGTGTGTGTCAGAACATGAGCTCCTTTGTGCTCAGCTGAACTCTGAACAAACTGTTGTCTGCAGACAGAAGCAATAGGAAGTCGGTGGAGGTGATTAAAGTGGAACAATGGAAGAGTTCACACACACACACACACACACACACACACACACACACACACACACACACACACACACACACCCCTGCCTCATTTACATAGAAGAAGAATCGCTCGTAAACATGGCCGTTGTTATTTTGGTTCGGTTCTGATGGTATTTTGGTGATTTCCTTTTAACGTGACCGGAGTAAATAAATTTCTTTAGCTGTTCTGATGTGAGAGCCAACACGCAGCAGACGTGTTGGTTTCAGAAACCATGACGGGTTTCCTCCTGTGATCTGTTCCCAGGATCCTGACGGACCCCCAKGGTCCAGAGACAGACCCTCCTTAGTGCCACCTGTTCAGGACCCGTTAGCACCGACAGYTTCTGGTTTCAAAACAAAAAGTCAGAACGCTGAGTCAGCRTTCGCATTATTCTTCTCTGGGTATTTAATGACTTCTTTTTATCGAACCACTTCTGCATGTTTAGTTTTTCTATTTTAGCTGTTTATAACTTTAAAAAGTTYGGCTCATCCAGGAGATGACGACTTGTTTTCTCTGACATTTATACTTTTAAGTTTGTTTAAATTTATTTACAAATAGTTTGTAGAAATATATTCGCAATCTTCAAAAAACATTGCTTCAGCTACTATTTTTATCTTTTTAGGTTGTTTACCAAGCCAGTAGCAAGCAAGCAAGTAAGTAAGTACATAAGTAAGTAAGTAAGTAAGTAAGTAAGTAAGTAAGTAAGTAAGTAAGTAA